ATTTGTTTCCCTTGATATTTATGCTTTTTCGATTTAACTAAAACAGTAAGTCAGAAAGCATAGATTATATTAAGTGCGGTCATTACGAAGCACCATGTGTAATCTGTTACAGAGTTAATCTGAACACATGGCATCTCTTTAAATTCAAAACCTCCTTTCTCTTGTTTAATCATTCACCAGTCTGTCAAATCATCAGGTTTTCCATTACACAAAATTCTAACTCATCTCAATTAAATACTTGCTAATCAATTGCGTTAAATCGATATTATGATTGCAGACAACGGAAGAAAACATGCTGGTTTTCTTGTTAGTAGCTCTATTATAGGAATAAGAGGGATAGTCAAATTATTTAAAGACTGAGATGAACAGGAGTCATATTTTAAGGTGATGTAATGCAAAATTTAAAAAAAAATATGCAATAACTAGTTAAATAATGCCTTCCTTTACTATGCTACGAACAAAAACTATTTAAGCAATAATAAAATTATTTATTCATAACATGAAAGGCACAAAAATATTTTCAGTTGAAAAATAAACCTAAAATTTACTTTATAATAGAAATTTATTATAATGATCACTAAAAATTACATTTTAAGAAAATATACTCTTCGCGAACTAGACTATACACATTTCTCAGTGAATAACTCCTTCACTTTAATATATATATATATATATATATATATATATATATATATATATATATATATATATATATATATATATATATATATATATATATATATATATATATATATATATATATATATATATATATATATATATATATATATATATATATATATATATATATATATATATATATATATATATATATATATATATATATATATATATATATATATATATATATATATATATATATATATATATATATATATATATATATATATATATATATATATATATATATATATATATATATATATATATATATATATATATATATATATATATATATATATATATATATATATATATATATATATATATATATATATATATATATATATATATATATATATATATATATATATATATATATATATATATATATATATATATATATATATATATATATATATATATATATATATATATATATATATATATATATATATATATATATATATATATATATATATATATATATATATATATATATATATATATATATATATATATATATATATATATATATATATATATATATATATATATATATATATATATATATATATATATATATATATATATATATATATATATATATATATATATATATATATATATATATATATATATATATATATATATATATATATATATATATATATATATATATATATATATATATATATATATATATATATATATATATATATATATATATATATATATATATATATATATATATATATATATATATATATATATATATATATATATATATATATATATATATATATATATATATATATATATATATATATATATATATATATATATATATATATATATATATATATATATATATATATATATATATATATATATATATATATATATATATATATATATATATATATATATATATATATATATATATATATATATATATATATATATATATATATATATATATATATATATATATATATATATATATATATATATATATATATATATATATATATATATATATATATATATATATATATATATATATATATATATATATATATATATATATATATATATATATATATATATATATATATATATATATATATATATATATATATATATATATATATATATATATATATATATATATATATATATATATATATATATATATATATATATATATATATATATATATATATATATATATATATATATATATATATATATATATATATATATATATATATATATATATATATATATATATATATATATATATATATATATATATATATATATATATATATATATATATATATATATATATATATATATATATATATATATATATATATATATATATATATATATATATATATATATATATATATATATATATATATATATATATATATATATATATATATATATATATATATATATATATATATATATATATATATATATATATATATATATATATATATATATATATATATATATATATATATATATATATATATATATATATATATATATATATATATATATATATATATATATATATATATATATATATATATATATATATATATATATATATATATATATATATATATATATATATATATATATATATATATATATATATATATATATATATATATATATATATATATATATATATATATATATATATATATATATATATATATATATATATATATATATATATATATATATATATATATATATATATATATATATATATATATATATATATATATATATATATATATATATATATATATATATATATATATATATATATATATATATATATATATATATATATATATATATATATATATATATATATATATATATATATATATATATATATATATATATATATATATATATATATATATATATATATATATATATATATATATATATATATATATATATATATATATATATATATATATATATATATATATATATATATATATATATATATATATATATATATATATATATATATATATATATATATATATATATATATATATATATATATATATATATATATATATATATATATATATATATATATATATATATATATATATATATATATATATATATATATATATATATATATATATATATATATATATATATATATATATATATATATATATATATATATATATATATATATATATATATATATATATATATATATATATATATATATATATATATATATATATATATATATATATATATATATATATATATATATATATATATATATATATATATATATATATATATATATATATATATATATATATATATATATATATATATATATATATATATATATATATATATATATATATATATATATATATATATATATATATATATATATATATATATATATATATATATATATATATATATATATATATATATATATATATATATATATATATATATATATATATATATATATATATATATATATATATATATATATATATATATATATATATATATATATATATATATATATATATATATATATATATATATATATATATATATATATATATATATATATATATATATATATATATATATATATATATATATATATATATATATATATATATATATATATATATATATATATATATATATATATATATATATATATATATATATATATATATATATATATATATATATATATATATATATATATATATATATATATATATATATATATATATATATATATATATATATNACGGTCTCTTTTCTTTATGGTGCTTCTGTGTACGTCACCGCTTCAGGAAAGCATTTCCGACCCCACATTGCTATATGATTTCGAGTCGTCAGGATACCCCCTACCCCTCTTAGAAGTTCTGAAACGCTTAACTGCGACACCCTGTATATATATATATATATATATATTTCAAACCGTGATCTATTACGAGATTACTTATTTTTCAAAAAATGGATTTCTGATTTCTACTGTACACTTATCATAAGGTACGGTTCCCAATTGATCACTGAAGTCAAGCATCACGGGCAGCGATCAGTGAGCGAATGGGTGACCAATTTGATCAGTCTGCGAAGGAACCGAGAGAGGGGGCGCTATATCGGTTTTCGGTAAACTGTTCTGCCGCAAATTGCTCGACTTTTGTCACAGGTCATCTGGCTACCAAAGCGAGGGAGGAGATTTTGATCCTCGGTTGAGGATCAAAATTGTGAAGGATTTTTTAGACTAACAGTAAATAAAATAATAAAAAATGACAAATATTTACTAAAAGTTATTTTACGCGAAGAATTATCTTTGGATAAATGAATTCTATAATTGTGAGCAGGAAATTTTCAATTCACTTAAAAAGTTCTCAAGAATCCTGTTTATTCAGAGAAAGTGGGTTTTTGTGTCTGATTTCGTAACTTAAAAAATCGTCTGCACTCATTAATTACCATATTTGAGTTCACCCCTTGAACCATCAAGATTGATTCCGAGAACGTGAGGATCTAATTATTTGATTTTTGGACAGAAATACGCAAATAATTTCATCTGGTTTAGGTTTTTTCATTTCCCGTTTTCCTGATTTTTATAATGCTAACATGAATTTCAAATGACATCTACTTCTTAGAGGAACTTACTCTAACTTTGGAGGTCTATACGAATTTCGCATCCACCTCGCACCAACCTCAGTGCTGACGTAAAAAATCGTCAGTAGTAGACGAACCATGTGTTAGAGTCCCCTAGCCGTTAGGCTGACCGGGGCAGGTTTTCGTGGTTTTCCTCTTCATGTAACGCAAATGCTAGTTTATATCATCGAAAAGTCCTCTACGAAGCCAAATTTCTCCCATTACTTGAACCATGAGTTTCCTTGTCTTCTGGATCAGGTTCAAAATTACAAGGCTACGAAGTTGAACATTAGTGGTCGTTAACTCAAAATTGGATCAGCTGTTCAACGACGGTTATTAAATAAACTAAGATATTCATTAATTTCATTTAAGTTGTAAAATAATAATGATTCGATTTGGTAACGTCGCCTTAATGTCAAAAGACAATGTTGAAATTAAGTATTCACGACAGTACAATATTTGCAATGTTTCCAGATAGTTGCGGAATAAAATTTCAACCAAAAGGAAGGGAAATTCCAAAAGTGCGGTTTCAACATTTTCTGGATTCCTGAGATAATTTTTAATATTTTTTAAGAGATGGTAAATAATGTTGTTGAAAGACTTACTCAAGTGGTTCCTTCAATTTGTAAACACTTGGCTGAATCAGCAATTGTAGAGCTGTTGGAGGTGGTTGAGATGAGACAGGAATGTATGGTTCTAAAACATCATCAATTATATATAGAAGTTGTGTTTTTCCTTCTGTGCCACGATATTCTTCGCTGCCAATGATTTTTGCGTTGTTTACGAAATATTCCTGTAAAAAAAAAAATATTTTGCAAATGCATAACTGATAGCAAAAAATTAGTGTTTAACAACTAGAAAATCATGCTTTCAAAACTGCCACCAAAGTTTCGAACGTAAAATGCAAATGCTACCTTATTTGTTTTTCTGTTTTTTTTAAATTTCTATTTTCTTTGAAACACTTTGAATATATCTTTGACTGTAACACTATGTAACAATTCAAAGATTTGAATTCAGTGCTTTAACGATAACTCTTTTTTCTTCCAAAATGCAAACGAATTATGGATTTCAAACAAATGTAGGATAACTCAGGATTGTGAAATTGGGAAGTAATCCTGCCATAATTTGCTTACAGTTTTTTTTGTTTTTCAAAAAGAGTTTTAACGTTTGAAACTTCATGTTTTTTATGAGTTTATCCAGATTCCCATTTGCTATATTTTAAACTAACAATGGAGGGTAAGCAGAATTTCTCTCTTGGTATAGGGTGCTTATAAATTTTTGTTTTGTGAATTTTCACAAATTGCTCATACATGTACATCATAAATGAAATTATAAGACACCTAGTGCATTATGAAAATCGTTTTTGTAACATATACTTAAATAAAATAATAATTAAAATCTTTTAAAATAATTATGAATTTTTTATTAAGGGTTTCCCATAAACGCCTTTCAATCCTCTCTATTTCCAAATTTTTGAGAGCTATAGTTGTACTGCCTCGCCATAGTAAAATAGTCATGAACTTCTGAATGAAACTGCATAAAGGGTCATTTAACGTCAGAATTTAGATGTAACAAATTTATGTAGAGTAGGGCTGCACAGTCTTTTTGTATGAAGGGCCACTTGCACAGAAGGTAGATTAACGAAGGGCCACAATCACATAAGTCATGTTAGCAGCAAATATAATTTTTTTTCTATAAACATTAATGCTCTAAGCACTAAACATTTTTATTAGTAAACTTAAAAACATAGTTGAAGAAAATTAAACACTTCTAATTATTTAAATTTATTTAAACCTAAACTTTTTTTTTTAATTTTTTTCTCTCCATTTTTTACAATGATTAATTTATCGTTTTATAGAGCAATATAAATTTGAATTAAATATTTTACTTAAAGAAAATTTATAATGTTTAAAGTAAAAACAAATTAAAAGAATTTTTTATTGCTTTCAGAAGTTCCCGATGGCGTTCATCAACAGTCGACGAGCCGCATGTGGCCCGCGGGCCATAGGTTGGGCATCCCTAATATAGAGCATAAAAACTAATTAGAAAATCGTAAATACTAATTCGTTTACGTTTTGTAACAAAACAGTATAAAAATAATGCTTCACTTCATCCTGATTTAGTTAGTTCCTTCCCTTATATCGAATACAAGATCGAAACGCTAATTACTGATTTCCCCCCTAGGTGGCGCAGTTTAGGGCAGCTTTTGGCTTGGATCGGTAAGAGAAAAGGAATCTTTTTCTCCGGTCTACTGCGTTAGCCTTAGAGTGAAAAGAAGCTACCCTCCCTGAATTACACTACTCTTGTTTCCATAGCAGCTGACTTTGTGGCAGGGGGAGTTCTCACCGTAGACAAACTATAAGAGACTCTTAGGGGAAGTAACAGAGACAGTAACAGAAACGTGGACAGTTGTAGCAAAGAGAGAGATTTCTGGGGATTTTCCCTCTTAAATTCTGAAAATGTCTAATTTCTTTTCCCAATTTTTTAACTTATTTACTATTTATTCTAGCTTCTGCTCATCCGATTTCTCTTCAAAACACCTACTATTAGCAAAAATATTAACTCAGAAGCTAAAAGAGGATGAGAAGTCAGGGAACCCTTACACATTGAGTCATTCAAACTCTCTTGTGATGGCTTCGGAACCTATTTAAGGAAAGAAAAGTTATTCTAATCGTTAAATGGCTTCTAATGTGCTACAGGAAAGAAAAGGTTTGGTACGTGAGCAGTAACATATAAAGGAATTTAAGAGATTTGACTCCTCAAATTTGAAAATAAAGCTATTACCTTTTTGCTGCGTTTTTCAAATTAATTTTTACATATTCCAGCTTCTACCACCCAAAATATTCACACAAAAAAAAATATTTAGCCTCATTTTTTGCAAATAGCCAGTAAAGAGAGAAAGGTATCGAAGGAATCGTAAGAAAGGTTGGAAAATTTCCTATGTGTGATTTTCCTGATCTTTTCCTTCTTACTTTTAGAGAAATTTTTAAATGTTACGGATGTTTGTGTGAAGAAAATTGCGGATGGAGGACAGAACATATAGAAAATAAGTTAATAAAGAAATTGTGAAAGTAACATTTCTTAATGATTAGTTTAGAAGAAAATATTTGTGAATCTCCCTTTTCTGCTACAAATAACGATGTATTAAAACATTTGATGTATCTAGTTCCCCAGAGAAAAATTTAATGTTAAAATTATCCTTTCCCCGAAACTTCGGAGAGGACTTGAAGCTCTCATACGAAAGTTTGGATCATTCGTAGCATTAGGATTTCCTGACCTTTTCCGCCTCTTTTGCTTTTAGCTAAAATTGTGGCGAAATATTTTTATTATTAGATGTTATGGGGAATAAAAGGAGGACTAAAAGCTGGAATATGCAGGAAATAAGTTTACAAATTGCGAAAAAAATTCTAGAAAAGATGATTATTTTAATTATTTTCTCAGAATATAAAAAGAAAAATTACACTTTTTGCAACAAATGATCGTGTTTTAGAAGTAGACATCTATCTATCTCCTCGTAAGAAATTTAACAGTTAGAATACTCAGTCTCCTCCCCCAAATCTAATAGGTGGCCGTAAAATTACCGAAAAGAGATGAATTTAGGGGAAGGGCTACCCCAGGAAACGATGAGTAATGAGGGAAATGGGAGTAATATTTGGATTCAGGAGGTCATTTCACATGAAAATCAACTAGAATGGAGTTAAAGATTTTTTTTCCGCTGCTCATTGCTATAAGCATTTTACATTGAATATATGCAAATATTTTGAAATAAGAAAACAGTTTGGATTATAATGAACAAAAAATTATTAAAAGATGCTAAACTTAGGTAAAAGGGTATCCTCAAAAAATGGTGGTTGATGTGAAAAATGGGGTCTATATTGGTATTCAGGAGATTATTTCACACAGAAATCAACTCATATGATGGTGGTGATCAGTTCTATTTAGTGGTTTGCTTAGGTAGCAACATTGTAGCATTAAACATATTTTTGACCGTGTGAGATACACTTTAATTAGGATATCATGTAGGCATAATTATCTCAGAAATGAATAAAATCGTTAAGGAAAATTTATTTTTCTAGTTGTAGCAACGACATCGTCAAGCTACCACAGCACCACCACATACTAGACAGTGGATGCTCAGACTTCGAACCGAATGGACCTTCTTCTTTATTTCTCCTTTTCTTAATTAGTTAAACTTATGTTTGTTTGTCCTTGTGCTATATGTATATTAATAAAATATTTGGCACTAAGCTTTTATTCATTTTAAACTCCTCGAGATCTAGCTGGGGCTACATAGTAAATATTAAATTAGAATATGGCCAAATTCAAAAATATGAAAAATAAAGAAAAGACGTCCCTTAAAAGGGATCAAAAAATCATTCTCTTAACATCGAGAATTTCTGTTAAGATAGATATTCAACGGTTGGACAAAGAGAGAGGCACAAAGGTCCTCCAGTCCAATCGACAACAAATTTTATATTGAAAGTAAATAAGTTATCACCGACTAACAGTTAGGAGCATGGGAAGAGATCCATGGTTGGCGATTTATCGAAAGATAACATAGTCAAGAATAAGGCCAACCCTCCATAACCAATAATAAATTTGAAAATAATTTGGCGAAAGCGAATCGCCAAAAAGTCTGTTAGAATTAGTATAACTATGTAAATGAAACATTTTTGTGGTAGGAAATAGAGAACCAAGAGTTATAAATAGATTTTTGTTTTCGAATAAAGTATTTAATATTTACTTTTCATGAAATGTAATAAAATTAAATAATTGGATTAAAATTTGATAAAGAGTGATCAAAAAATAAGTTAAAGAAATTAAAGAAATTTATAGCTTAGGAAATAAATGTAATTGCCTGTTGTGGCATCCCATGAATGCTTATTGTAGCATCACAACTTTGGTGTTGGCGCTATTCTTCCTGCAGCAAAATGCTGCAGCTCATAAGTAAGCATTTTACATCACCAGCAGTCGTCAAAATATTTTAAAATTCGAAAACAGTTTGATGTATGAATTTAACGTGAAACTTTAGAGATGTGTGTATAAATAAATGTTTAATCTCAAAGTGAAATGTTCCTAATTTATGAAATATTTATAAAAATAATTCTAAAAGCATTTTGAGAGACACCCGGTGGCTGAGTGGTAGCACTTCGCTCTCCCGTGCCGCAGGTCCTGGGTTCGATCCTTGGGCTGGGAAAGGGTGAATCAGCCTTTCATCCCGTCAGTGAATCGATAAATGAGATGCTTGGGAACTAAACACTGAGGGTTTCCCGTTCTGCTGACCACCTAACCGGAACATCTGCTCCTGCACTCCAGAGCCCAAGGTCAAGACTGAGATAGGCACAATAGGCCTTGGCCCTCTATGGGCTGTCGGGCCACAGAGTTTTGTTTAGTAAAAGTATTTTGAAGTTGAATAAGCACTAAAATTTTGATCAAATTTGGTGCCAGCAAAAAGCTGCCTATAACATTGTTTAAAATTGTGTGATTACTTTACAACTATTATTTCATTAACAACAACAATGCAACTACATTTTTAACAATTATTTCTACATCTACAATACTTTATAAATGCTGTTTGATTACTATATAAAACAAAACTTAACTTTTTGATTTGTTTCTTTTAGAATGTGGTTGAAACATTAAAAGTGTCTCCGCAATAACAATATTTGCATTAAATTTGCAATTAAGAATAATGGCACACGAAAGAATAATTTCAATTCATTTTAAGTTCCAAAACATTAATAATCAGAATTCCCCTTGATGAATTGAGATTTAAATTGTTTTCATATGCTA